ATTCAAGGAACTAAATACGGCTCAGAGAGGAAAACAGAGACATTGATTGGGGAAAGCTTTTTGCAGTCTTTTCGTAGCTCGGTAGGACTTTTCGGCTTTTCCGCTTTGGTACTGGGAATTTTTGTTTGTTCCTTTATTGATCCAGTTTCACCCTTTTTTGGGAAAATTGCAGATCTGGGGACACTGTACCCGTTTTCGGGCACAAGCCTAAGCTGGGTTAGGGCCTCAATATTTTCCGGGCAAGATGTTGAGGAATTCCTGGCCGGCTCGAGATTATAATAGAAAATGTCACCTCCTTATTTTCTTGAAAAAGAAAAAGGAAAAAAAACTAATCATAATAAAAGAAAAGGAAGTTCTACGGAGTCTTCTGTGGAGCACACATATACCAATCTGAAGTCAAAATGCTGAAAATCCCTCGCTTTTTTCGTTGTTTCCTTCTCTTGTAGCTGAAATTATGCACGCTCGCGCAGAACAGGGGCAGGGATTTGTTTTCTCCCAACCGTAATTATTGGATTCATAGGATGCCGTCAGCATTCCAATTCCGCATCTTCGTTGGACAACTTGGTCATCAACCGCTGTGTGTATGTGTTTTGTTTTAAAAGACCCCAGATTCAAATTGCCTAAGGGCGTCGTTCGACACTCCTCGGAGCGTCCTTGAGCTCCGAGGATGAATCCTCGGAGTATTTTTTTATTTTTGGAGGCGTCGTTCCACCTGTCCTCGGAGAGTAGCCCCGAGGATGCATCCTCGGGGCCGTCCCGCGGCCAGTTTCATGAGATTATAGACGGCCGCGAGGGTGTTGTCCGACCTCCGATTCGGAATGTCCGTGTGCGAGGCGCGCAGGTCCACCAGCCGGACGGTGACAATACGTCACGGGCCGTGGAAAATAAAATTGCGAACGCGGGAACGGCCCCGTTCGAAATTCGAAATTCGAATTTTCTCCGCGCGGAATGACGGTGTGGCGGCGCACAGGCGGAAGAGCACGTCGACTGGGGGACGAGCGCGCAGGCTTGACGTCGTGTTTCGTACTTCAGCGGCACCGCGCCGCCACCGTGTGTAGTGTGTTCGTCGCAGGCAAAACGAAGCGGCGTGTCAGCAGTTGCGCTCGCCACGTGCATGCGAGCGGCGCTTCCATGGTTCAGGGGCGGAGGACGAACGCTCCCATCGCGGTGTAAATTTTGTCATCACACCTGTCTTCCACACCTCGTTGTAGGCGTCTTCGATCGTCGTCGTGGACGTTGGTATACACAGGTGGGTCGCGGTGGACGTTGCTCTTCCTCGTGGACGTGCGCGAATGGAGGGATGCTCTGGGGGTGGCCGTGCTGTGCTGTTGCCGACGGAGAGGACAGCTGTCGCGGCGGCTGCCGTTGCCGTAGTCCGTCAATTCGAAGCGGAGAGGGCGGCGGGCCGCATGAAGGCAGCGCTTTCCAGGCGGCAACACAGGCTTCTGCTGCAGAGGGTGTTGGATGCCCCGGACTGCATCACGACTTCGGAGGCCGTGGTTCAGCTGTGCGCTGCAATTGGCTCCGGTGTGCTTCCCAGGGCGACGCCACGTTGGTGGATGAGGCGGAGAACTGCCGGGACTTGGGAGGATTTGCGGGTGTGCGATGACGCGACGGATGACTACTTCCGGGAAAAGCTCCGCATGTCGAGGAGAGTGTTGATGGAGATCACCGAAGCCTGTGCGCCTCATTTGCAATGACAGGTCACGTTTTACAGGGAGCCGCTTCAGCCGGAGCAGATCGTCGCGTACGCGCTGTATAGGTGGGCAACAGGAGAGTCGTACGACAACAGCACATCATCGTTCGGCATGGGCAGAGCATCCGGAGTTCGAGCCGTGCGCGATGTGACAGCCGCGTTGTTGAGGGTCTACGGGGACAAGATATCGTGGCCGACGGGGGTGCGCAAACACGTGGTGCTATGGGCGTTTCAGGACAAGGGCTTTCCCAACTGCCATGGAGCAGTTGACTGCACACACATCTACGTGGACAAACCGGCGAACGCTCCGAGCGAGAACTACTTCGACCGCAAGCACCATTTCTCCGTCGTTGCACAGGTGGTGGTGGACCTGGATCTGCGTGTGCTTGACGTCTTTGTTGGCTACCCGGGCAGCTGCCACGACATTCGGGTGATCCAGCTGTCAAGTCTGTCGAGGCGCGCGAAAGAGGGAACGCTTTTTCGTGGGCCGCCTGTAACGCTGCCAGGAGGGGTGAGGACGAACGGATACATCTTGGGCGACAACAGGTATCCTCCTTCAGAATGGATAGTGGTGTCGTACGGAGGAATCAATCAGCACCCGGACGAGGAAAGGTTCGACAACAAAACAAGTTCGCTAGAGGTGCTGTGGAGAGGGCGTTCATGAGGTTGAAGGGGATGTGGAGGCTCTTCCTGCGGTCGCACAAGACGAACTTGGACACTCTACCGCAGCAGTTCACGACCGTCTGCATTATCCACAACATCCTGCTAGATGCTGGAATCGAGTTCGATGAGAACTTCTTGTGGGAGGTCAACGAGAACGGGGTGAGGTGGCGAGTGGACCTGGGGATTCATCGTCCACTGCAGCCAGTGACAATGCTGACATCGACGCACGCCGCACACGCGCTCCGCAATGCCCTAGCGGAGCGAATGAAACACATCTGATCGTGCGTGTCGCGCCACTCTGCCTCGCGTACACAAACAGAAGCCGTGTGCGTCCGTCGTCGAGTCGCACCACTTGCGTCATTCACGAATGCGCGCAGTTAGCTCGCAGGGTTTGCAGTGGCGGGCGGCTCGTTTGTAGGTGTTTGTTGTTGTAGTCGACGGTAGTGTGCTTCTCCAGGTCGTGGGTGATCGACAGTGAAGCGGCTCAATTGTCGTCGGTGATCGGCAGTGACGTCGTTGTTGTTTTTTTCGTTGTTCATTGATGTCGTCCTTGCCGTGGCGGTGTTCCCCGCGCAAATCCATGGGCATGGGGATGGGAAATGTGAGGGGGGGGGGGGGGGGGGGGGGGGTTTTCCGGTGCTTGGTGGGTGGCGGCACGGAGCAGGTCGACACCCCTCTGTTGCGCATGTACTTTGGATCGCTGTTTTGCTTGAAATTGTAAGATATTTGTATTTTTTTTTTAATTTGTGTGAGGTCGCCGTCGTGCGTCAGGCTGCTGTCCGTCTTTTGATGACACGTGTTTTCTATCCACCACATGTAGCGTTTGTGATGCATGTTGTCTGCAGTACTCGGCGTTTTTTTGATGCTGTTGGTGAAGCTTCGATGTTGAACTGATGACGACCACGTCCATGGAATGAAATGTAATCAAAAAACACTTTTCTCGTGATGGGTTCATATTTTGGCAAATGGTTGAGAACCCTCTTGTAATTTTTTCGATGGGTTGGTGCATTGTTTGTTTTCGTTTTCTTTTTTCTTCCCCTTTATCTATGGTCTTCAACATGAACAGAAGTTGTGGACTACATGGCGATGAGCAATAACAAGAGCATGAGAATAGAAGCTGTAGACGCGATTCAGATGATCATTAACGATTATCGTGCATGATAAACCCGCATACAACAGAAGAAAAGCAGTAGTGGCTGACTAATAAGAAGCATACAGTCACACGACGTTCACACATAAATAGAAATGATTGCATAAAATCCGTTCAAGTACATAAAAAGTTGTGGCGGCGACCGACTTTTCTCCTACCTATCCACCCTCCCTCCTCACTATCCACCCTCCAACCACGAAACACGAAGGACGAACTTATCCTGCCGTTTGCGCAGTGCTGCCACGTGTCACCCCCATGATTAACAAACCCTTTTGTGGAACATGACCAGAAAGTGTGCTCCAATTCCTAAGAGACGACATGAAAAAAAAAAACAGGAGCCGCTCACAACACACGCAATACGGAGCCATCTGCCAACGTCGCCATGCCGCTGGACCGCGCAGTCTTCGCCACCCTTATCGTTCGATGCGGTGAGAGATGTTTCCGCAGCTCCACCTTGACAGACCACTGCGCAAGACCTGCCACCTCACCTATTCGCCACACCCCCCACCCCCAACACCTGGCAACACCCGTCCCGCCTGTGCGCTACCGTGTCCATTTGAAGGCGCACACGTCCTCCTGTCGTCACGACCGTTGACGAAGCGCCGACGATGCGCACCAACCCGCAGCCATCTGCTCGAGATGACGTGTCACTTTCCATCATCTCCATCATCATCCGCCGCAGGCTCGCTGCCGATCACCCGTGTTTTGCGGCCTCCGCCGCGTTCTTCAGGGCCGCGTTGTGCCCGAACACCAACCCGCAATCACACCATTCCGGAATGCATTCTGGGTAATCTCCCAGCGTGACGTGGGCCTTCCCTAGATGATCGAGGATGAGGTTGGCGGAATCCACCACGTGTCGGCGCCAGTTGAAGATGTACGACCCCGCCGCTATCATCGTCGGTTTCGCGACCATGGACGCGTACAACCATGCCTCGTAATGCGATCGGTCGTAGTCACCTCACATGCGCATGATCCACATGACCGCGCACAACAACGCTCGCAGACAGTCCGCCAGCCTGGACAACCTCTCCAATTTTACGCGCCCGCCATCCGCCCACTGTCCGCACCAGAGTGCATCTGTCCAGCACTCCGCGAGCCGAAGAACTGTCGCCTCTTGCCGCGCCACCATGTCGTCGTCTTCCGGGAGGTCCTCAATCCTCACCCCCGCGAACCACAGAGGTACGTCCATCTTCATCGCCAGCGTGTGGTAGACGAGTGCAGGGGATACCACTCTCGACCATTCCAAGGCCTGCCAAACTGCTCGTGTGAGGTCCGTGTGGAAGTCGACGGTGATGTACGACTCTGCACGAGCAAAGCCAGTCGACCTCGACTGCGATTTGAAGATCCAACCGTGGATGGTGCGCAGCACTACTCTTTCCACGCTGCGCGCTCTGCGGAGAACCGGTTCACACTGGGCCGGGTCGTCGATCTTGAAGCGCGACACGTCATTCGGCGGCATGATGAGCATTGAAGGTGGCTCAGCTCCTGCGTCTCCGTTGGCGATGGCGACGAAGTAGTCAGTGCATTCGCCTACCGCCTCCCTCAGAGGTTTCCCAGGACCCTGACCCTAGAAAGCGTCGCAATCAACCCACAACTTGGCCTTCTCTTCCAGCTCGTCCTCCTTCGCCGCTCCCTTCCCCCTCGACACAAGTGGACGGTCGTCGCCGTCATTGCCCTCCCGCTTTCCGTCTCTTCGGCCATCGTCACGGCCAACGTCGTCGACCCTCCTATTTTCCACACCTTCGGCGACTCCGCCTTTAGCTGTGTGATCTGCCGCCACCGTCTGACTGGCACTCGCTGTCGCGTCGCCCTTTTGCGCACTCGCCGTGTGCCCTCCCCCTGATGCGCCCACGTGTTGCAGGGGGAGTGGCTGACGTGGCTGACCTTGGCCTGCCGCCGCCGAAAGTTGTCCCGCGACCCGCGCGCCCGTGATGACAACCCCTGCCGTGTCTGGGGTCCTTGGCACCGTCCCGGCAGCACCACCAACAACACTATGTTTCAGTGCTTGCAGCTGCTCCCTCGATAAACCATCCCGCCCGAAACCCAACCTCGCGACCCCTGCCGTCCCTTGCGTGTCCACCATAGCCACTTCGTCTGCGAGGAAAGCATCAGTTTGTGAGGAGCTCGCGTCATCGATGCGCTGCCTTTTCGACTTCAGTATGTGGCCTCTGCCTCTTTGGGTTTCCCCACCGTCGCCCACCCCGCCATCTTTCCTGCCCTTCGCTGAGGCGCCCCTTGGGAGCATCTGGTCCGCAAATCAGAAACAACGACCCCGTAAACGAAGGCTGCATTCGACGAAAGAGCGAGCGGAAGAAGGATGCGTGGCGGTCCAGTGCTGCCACGTGGACGAAAGACGACATGGATGATGCAGATGACAGGGCAGTGGTCGTGGAGCCGCGACGACGATGGCGATCGAAATGGAGATCGCGGACGACGAAACACGTTGGCGGAGGAGCACGTCCACGAAGGATGACGTCGACGAAGGAGCACGTGGACAGCACATGGGCGACGGGGACGTAGGACCACTTGTTTGATGCGCATGAAGGGGCATTGTCCGCGCAGCACGAAGTGGGAGCGTGGAGCGGCGAAGCGGAGTTGCAGGCGCGCGACGATGAGCAGGTAGGCAGACAGTGCGAGAAGGAGTCGTGGCTAAGGAAGCACTGCGGTACGGAATGGCGGGCGGAATGTCCTTTTCTATGTACTGCAATGTGAAAGTACACCATGGACATGAGTCCCCATCCACTACAGCCCTCCCCTTCGCCGCTCGCCCATGGTCCATTTTCCTCCGCAGGCGCATGTCATCCCTCACATGGCCAACATCGAAAGTGGGCGCGCAAAAGGACCCTGGCGGAGGTCGAAAAAGCCCCTCAACCCAACGACCCCTTCCGCCCGAAAATCACACCCTTCTCCGAAACCCCCGGAGATCGCCATCCATGCGTGCCAGCGACGCCTCACTATAGCAGTCGTAATATTCTATAATCGGACGACGTATTGGACCACCGAAGGACGCACCGCGGGGCATGATAGCAATCATACCCATTTTACAATGAAATCATCAAATAAATGCATACTTAAAAAAAAAATAATCGTGCGGCCAAAAAACAACCAGCCGTCTGTACACAACCTGCCCATCTCGTCACTGCAGCACGTAGGACAATAATGGCACGCGTGGCGGGGAGACGTCACGATCGCTCGCGGATCGCTTTAATAATCTCCATAAGTGCGTTGCACATCATGAAGTTCGCCTGGTCGGCCTTAATGTAGTGTTCCTTCTGCACTTCAACCTCTCACTCCAGAATGTCGCACTGCCTAGTCAGAATTGAGCACTGTCTCTTGCTCGCGCTGTCCACGGTTGTCGCAATCAGACTCCCGTGCTCCTTCATCACGTCTGCAATCGTGTCGAAGGTTTGCTGTCTCACATTGTTCCGTTTGTTGCCCCCGCCAACACCACCGCCACTAATAGAATCCCTCGTGGACCCCTGATCGTGGTCTTGTCCATCCCCGCCCCCCTCACTACCGCCGGATTCATTCCGACCTCCGCGTGGGCCGGGCATTTGAACACCTCCAGTCGCACCGGTGTCGGTGAGATTGGTGGGGTGTATGGTGTGATCGCTCCTGGTCATCGCCGCCATCTCCGAATACACACGCTCATCCATCCGGAAATCGAACCCCCGCTCCTTCCTCTCCCATGGCGTCAGTGTGAAGAAATTTGGCTTCCCCGATTCTCCTATAAACTTGTGCACGATTTTGAATTGCTGGTATAGGTTGTCCCATTTCTTCCCGCAATCGACGGCCTTTCTACTTGTGACCCCCATGTGCACCAGCCTCTTCTCCATGTTATCCCACTTCCATGTCTTCGTCTTCATCCTTCTCGTGGTGTGCGCGAGGCCGGCAAGATGCGAATCCTGGTCTCTTTTTGCCCGCATGAGAGCAATCATGTGCTCCACGGTCCCAAAATCCTGGCTTTTCGATCCCTCTCCAGCCGACGCATCTTCCATACCCTTCTTCCCCCTCCGCCCGGTGCGCGTTTCCGACAACTTTTTCGCGACCCTCGACCCTCCCTGCTTTCTCCCTACTGGACGAATCTCCATCTGCTCGTCGTCGTTATCGGCCCCATCGTCCGCCTCGCAATCCTCCGCCACTGCACTATCTTCATCGTCGAGTATATCGTCCGCCCCCACGTTAATCTTCGCCACCCCTCTCGTTATGCCGGCCGTGCTCGCTTCACGCGATTGTCGCCGATGATCATCCCAAACCTTTCGACCAACGACCTCCGTTGCTGACCACTCATCGTTTGGGCGTCGTCCGTCCACTGTGCCACCTTGATGCACACTCGCAGCTGGCTGCAGGAGGGCGCTTACAAAATACGTATTTTCGACCGTTGTGGAGCACGCAGGAACGGCACGCCGGGACACCCGACGAACCGACAGGGCCGTCCCGCGACGATCACCGCCAACGGTAAAACGACGAGGCCGTTACTTGACGTTTTGGACACCCACGCCTCGCGATGTCCGTCTTCCGCCTTCTGGACCACCTCTGGACCACTTTCAACCTCCGTTGTCCCTTCGTGATGCGCCATCGACACCCCGATAATTGCGGATCCTCGGGCTCCAAAGGACCTCGCGAGGTCCCTTGAACCCGAGGATGATTTGGCTGGGAAATCCTCGGAGCCCGAGGATTTGTCCTCGGAGTGTTTTCACATTTCCCCCGCGCCCCGACCCCCGCTGGGCGAACCCCGACCCCCGCTGGGCGAACCCCGACCCCCGCTGGGCAAACCCCGAACCCCGCTGGGCGAACCCCGCCGCCCCGCTGCCCGACCACCGGCGGG